AATACAGGCACCCTACAATACCACTGTAACAGATTTACCCATGTCAAAGAAGGGTAAGCAAAAGGGGCGCAAGTCGACCCCCAAATCGGCCTTCCACCGCCTATTTGACGGGGCACCGGGCCCGGAGGACAGGAGGCCTTCGTTGCGCCGTTCTCCAGTACAGGGCGGGCCGCCTGTCCCCACTCATCGACGGGCGGACTTAGCCCCTCCCACTCCGCTTCGGGAGACGAGACACTCCAAAAAACCGGAGGAGACGGAGCTCCGGTGTCCAGAAGGCAGCGGCCGGAACCAACAGCAGGACCCACAGATGCCAACCGCAGGTCAGGACTTGACGGAGAGAGGGCCTTCGCCGCGCCGCAGCCTAGTACTAAACGGGCCGCCGGACGCCACTCAAATCGGGCCTGACTTAGCCCCTCCCACCCCGACTCGTGGATCACGACGAGAGGGGAGAACGGGGGAACCAGAGCCCTGGGAGACAGAGCAGGATACCCGGGCTCGACAGCGGGACCCACAGCTGCCCACATCCATGGCTTGGGACCTGACACACGCAGGGCAGCGGCAGCTCTCATCACCCCAGGCGGAGGTAAGCCTCTCCCCAGCACCTCCTCGGGACCGGGCCGGAGAAGCCCTGGACTCGCCTAGCAGGCACCCCAGGGGGGAACCCACCCTAGATCAGGCACCATCTCCACAGGCAGATGGCAGCCCAGGACAGGGACTTCCCCCACTGCCACCCAGGGGAGACCTCCAACGGGCCAAGACACCCCCAGCCACTCTACTGAACCAGCAGGCATGGACTCTACCCCCTGTGGTGTCGGGAGAGGAGGGCTCCATGAGCTCATGGCGCTCAGCTTCCCCTAAGCTCGCCTTAACAGAGGAATCCCACTGGCGGTCGCAGGGCTCAGGGGCAGAGCCCCAGGGAGACACCGATCTCAGGTCCCTGCTTCAGGCCCTGCCGACGAAGGCTGACATTGCAGCACTCATCCCTACCAAAGCAGACTTTGAAGCATTTACTGCGCGCATCGAATCCGTATATAAACAAGACGTCGCTGAAATCAGACAGGAGCTCGCCATATTGGAGCGCACGCAGACAGGTCACCAACAACAGATGTTTCACGTTCTGCTCTCTACTGATGATCAAGACAACCGTGGCAGGCGGAACAACATCCGCATCAGGGGTATACCGGAATCAACATCCGCTGCCGATCTAAAAGAGACTGTTTGTGGGATTCTCAATCTTTATCGCAACGAACCCCATAGGACACCGATTGAACTGGACAGGGTCCATAGATCTCTGGGGCCACGCTCCACGGATGTCACCCGCCCCAGAGATGTCATATGTAGGGTACACCACTACACCAAAAAAGAGGAAATCATGACACACGCTTGGAGGAAAGGTACTCTAGATTTTGACGGTGCACAGATTCGCCTGTACCCGGATGTTTCCAGACATACCTTACTGATGAGACGCGTTCTCCGTCCCCTGCTGGAAAAGATCCGCGACTGCGGGGCTACATATAAATGGGGTTACCCGTTTCACCTTAGCTCTCTCCGGACTACTCACTGCCTCACTCCTCAACGGAGGGGTTTGCGGAGGGACCCGGAGGGATCCTTGGGGGAAGCCTCCCGGCAGGGACTCAGTGCCTTGTATGTTCGGGTCATGTCATCCCAACATGTTATAGGCCTTTTCCGTTCCTGCTCATACTGGAGACGGTTGGGGGGCGGCGGCCTGCCCGATATCTCTTGCCATTGCTTATTTGAGCCGGACCTCTCTGGGGCCCTCCTCGGGATGTCCGCCCCACCCTTGCGTGGGAATAGACCGGTTGTCCTGGGGGAACACCGGGGTGGGGGATTCAGACGGGTCGCCCGTTGCGCACCCCTGGTTGTGTTCCCGGCGGGGGAGGGCTGGCGCCGCCTGCTGTGTTGTTCTGGTTGCTGGAGGTCGCCCTCCTCCCCCGAAGGGAGCTGACCTGGTGAAGAGTTTAGTTACTATTGGTTGAACTCCCTGAGCGGGAGGATGCAGTGGTGAGGGGGCCGCCCTCCACCGGTTGCACATGATACTCTGGTAGATATGTTTATACTTTTTATGTTTACAACAGTTAAAGTGCCAACTAATTACATGTATTTTCTTACATCTGAAGCTGTGAACCCGGAGCTGGTTATGGTTTAATCGCTCCGTGACCCATTGCCAAGCTTTGTTGTTTCTGGACTTGTTTTTGTCCCCCCTTAGGCCAGGCAATCTTCGGACCCCACGGTCTGGAGTTTTTGCCATTGAGGTTTTAACCTCCCCTAGAAAGTTCTCTGCTCCCTCCTAAAACCTATCGAAACCAGGGCGTATCATACACTACGACATATCAGATGTACATTGTGATCCCCCCAAATGCCCGGATGTTACATATGATGTTATGATGTTACTGTCTGCCCTTGGCCAATTAAGAGATCGGGGCTAGACGATATCGCTATACTCACTAAGATTGTATATGTACATCCTCATTCTTCGATTGTGTATGTGTTGTATGTTTACTGTAAAATGTTGGCTCAAAATAAAGAATTTAAAAAAAAAAAAAAAAAAGTCCCAAATTTTACATGCTTGTTATGCCTTTCAGTGGGGGTGTGTTGTAGGTCATCGGTCGCAGGGCCACTGGCAGATTTTATAGGGGGGGAAACAATTAATATTATTACTGGGCCGGGGCTGGCGGCACTGCTCCCTCCCTCCACCAGCACTGCCACTCCTGCAGGCACACCCGCACCTATGTATGTATGTGTATATATACTGTATGCAGGGCTCAAAGTAAAACTAAAGTGAGGGTGAGTGGAAATTTGGGTCTCAAAGTACCGGTCCCGCGGTCCAACTCCGGCCCGTGAACCGGTACTATGTTGCTCGCAGCCCGCTGACAAGTCAGGCACATGGTCGCAGACCGCGAACCTGACTTGCGGGAGCAGCTACACGTTCTGCATCAAGTCAGGCACACGGCCCCAGACCGCGAACCTGACTTGCGGGAGCAGCTACACGGTTTGCGTCTGTGTTAAAGTGGAAACCAAGAACTGCTTTATTGAAGAAAGCACACAGAGTTTATACATCACAGAATAAGATAAGAGTTCAGTGTGTTGAACAGTTCCCTCCCCTAGACAGCCGGGTGCCGCATTGGAATTCCTTAATCACAAGCACTCTTTGAACCTAATGAATGTACTTACTCAGATAAGAGCTTGATCATCCTAAACAATGACCACCCCAGGCAGCCTGCTGCCTTCATAAAATTATGTTTAGCAGAGACAAGACAAGATCCAAACAAGATGGAAGTCTGGATGGTTCAAATCAAGTCAAATAGTGAAAAGCTCTCTCTCTAGATAAAATATTAAACCGGAAAACACACACAGCAACCAAAGTTCTCCTTGGTAATAAATCTCTGCATCCCTAGGTCCGTAGTCTGAAGTTGGGGAATGTATTATTGTGTTTTAGTGTATGTGTACATCAGACCCCATTCACACCTATATTTCAGGTGTGATTAGGGATTTCTGTGTCAGGAACTTGTGTTTTCCTGCAGCAGGAATACCTAATCTGCCGTTTACAAGTGGCAACTATCATAACATAAGAATTATCATAAGATTATTTAGGAGGGTGTGTTTAGGGGCGTAGTTAAGGTCAGGGTCGAGTAGCTCAAGACCTGGCTAGTAGCTCAGGACTTGAAATCAAGCAGAGTAAACCTTTCCGGGAGAAAGTGTTTCTCTCCCGGCCGGCCGGGAGACGCTATCTAATAGCGGGAGACTCCGGGGTGACCCCTGGCAAATCGTCATTCGACCCCCTATGGGGGATTCCCCCCTCTGATCCGCCAGCACTGACTGGTGGATCGGACGGGGGAGGGGGCGGGTACAGCTGGCTCTGCCTCTAGATAGACACGCAGCTGGCACAATTGTCGGGATCCGCTTCAGCTGCGGCGTCTCAGTATACCGCGAGCTTCAGCTCGCAGTATACTGAGCCTAGGGTGACGGGAGGACGCTAGTTTGTGTCCTCCCGTTACCCTATGGAGAACTATGGGGAAAAGACTTAACCCCATAGTTCTCCTTTAATAACATAGCATGCAATGTCAAGCCGCAGCAAAATACTTTCTTGTATTAAAAAGGGTATAGACTCCAGTGAGAGAGACATACTCCTGCCCCTGTACAAAGCATTGGTAAGACCTCATCTAGGATATGCAATTCAGTTTGGGGCACCAGTTCACAAAAAGGATGTTATGGAACTGGAGACAGTGCAGAGAAGGGCATCTAAACTGAAACATGGAGGAGCTCAGCTATGAGGAAATATTAGCTGAACTGAATTAATTATCTCTTGATAAGAGGCGATTAAGGGGGGTATGGTCCCCATGTATAAATACATACATGGTCCATATAGTGAACTCTGTGCAAAATTATTCACTTTAGGGTCAGTGCAAAGGACAAGGGGGCACTCTTTGCATCTGGAGAAAGAGGGTTACCCTTTGCATACGGAAAGGCTTCTTCACAGTTAGAGCTGTGAAAATGTGGAATAGACTCCCTCAAGATCTAGTTCTAGCTAGCTCAGTTGACTGTTTAAAAAAAATCTGGATACATTCCTAAATGCACAGAATGTTACTAGAGCTTGACTTCTAAATATAATAAGCACCAGAGATTGTTGATCCAGGGAATATACGATTACCTTATGGGATCAGGAAGAATGTTTTCCCCCCTTGTTGGAGCAAAATTGACTCATGTTTTATAGGGCTGTTTTGCCTTCCTCTGGATCAACTGTGGATAACTGTGTGCATAGCGTTCTGTTTTGTTTTGTTTTTTCTTATATACTTTTTTTTTCTCATCTCTATAGGTTGAACTCAATGGACTTATGTCTTTTTTCAACCTGACTAACTATGTAACTATGAAGATAGTGTGGGGGTTTTTTTCACATTAGAAGAAAAAAAAACAGTGTACATTCTAGAAAAACTGTTTTAGACTATATAGTTTGATTTAATTTTCCTCTTTCCTTTATTATAGGGGAACCTTGCATGTGGACATATATTTGATGAGTCTGGGAATAGACCAATGTGCCCAGGGCCCCATCTGGTTCGCTAACACTCACAACTGCGACACGAACAGTACTCAGGTAATGAATGGGTTTATATGGTTAAAGAGGCTGTAAAGAGTAGCGCTTAGCCTTCTAAGAGCATTAGCAGAATTTACTATGTAATTGTACGTAATGTATATATGAACATAATGACAAGACATTTGGAACCTATCCTGACTCAGACCCTTCCATAGATCAGCAACATAGAGAGTTGCCCCCCATTCTAGGGATTCAGTAAGCTGCAGGTTATATCTGATGTTGATCTGATGTCTGATCTATGTTGGTGTATTTGTTCCCTTTGGCATTACTGCTGCATATACTAATTCACTTCATGTTCTCTTATTATTGTATGTTTTTATGAGGAGTCTTTACTACTTTCAAATATAATGTAGAAAACTTTGAAAATGACCTTTCACCTGGTAGCAGACATATTGCTAAAAAGTAAGAAGGTAAACATTGATCACACTCTATTTGTTCTGTTACAACCACCACTTTATGTATTTGCACATACTTTCCTGAGACTCATCTGTACGGATATTATGACAACCTACTGACTTGTTGATTTTCACAGACAGGGTCCAACTCGGTAAGAAGACTCCGAGTAGAATCCAGTGTAGTTTCTTTAGTCTTCACAATACAATAGATGTGATTCTTGTCATTTTTAGAGCTAGAAAATACATTCTTTGCCATTAACAGGTAGATAGAGACTCTCTTACCTCAGTGAGGGGTGAAGTAGAAAAGTGAGGGGTGAAGTAGAAAAGGAAGTGGGACGGAGTGGCTGAGAGAATCTAGCAGAAGACTGTACCAAAGTAAAGAAAGCAGCAGGGGTGAAATGGAAGATATCAAAGTATTAGGCTGTAACAATACTAATCTACCACTAGTAGAACACAATGAAATACATTTGCAGTGTAACTGAAACAGCAGAAATAATAAAAATGGCATTGGCTTTGGCAGCACACTATTCATCATTGGTACTTTACTGTATTTGTTGAAGTTTTGACCTGTATAGTCCCGTTTAATATTTCTCATCATGATCTGAAATATTATGAGAGGTTAGGTTATAGAAAAAATATAAAGTAACAACATCTGCCGGACCTTGACACAAGACTATTATTTCATCTTGTTCCACTAATCTAAATAACATCTAACCCGGCAAGCATTTGCAAAGCAGGCAACACATTTTTAGTTTTTTTTTTCACTCCTTAGATTCTATCTGGGTGTGCTGAAACCTAGAGTTGTATCTCAAAGCATTGTTTTGATATTATCTGCCATCATCAAACAATTAATTTACATATATTATAGCACTGCATAATATCCACTACAAATTCAAACACTCCATTTCAAATTCTGCAGAAAGGCTCCACAAACCCATTTCAGCAGCAAAACCCAAATATCTGTTTGAACTGACACTTGCACATGATACTGTATATTTACAGGGTTATTCACAAAAGGGTGAAGAGTTTGGAGAAGGCAGGAGAGGTGAACAATCTAGGCCAGGGGTAGCCAAACTCCAGCCCTCCAGCTGTGGTGAAACTACAAACCCCATGATGCATCTCCCTCTGGGAGTCATGTCTGTGGCTGTGAGAATCTTGCAATGCTCATGGGATTTGTAGTTCCACCACAGCTGGAGGGCCGGAGTTTGGCTACCCCTGATCTAGGCCAAACTAGCTAATTTGGAAGAATTCTCCAATTCTGCTAACTTTAAAATTCATCTATTTTGTCCTAGATTCTTCACTTCTCCAAACTCTTCACCCTAAACCGGTTCAGAACTTATTGGACAATTAATGCACTGCTGCTGTCCAGCACTCAAGCAGCTAATCAGTGCCTCTGCCTTACACAAAACCTGCCCTCAACCATGGTTTAGAGCAGCGGTCTCAAAGTACCGGCTTGCGAGCTGGTACTATGTGGCCCGCAGCCAGCTGACAAGTCAGACGGATGGCAGTGCGGCGTGGTTAGTGTCAATTTTTTTTACTGTTTCTCTATTTTTTTTACTTTTTTATCACTTTTTATTTTTATATTTAATAATTTCTTATTTTTTTATTTTTTATTTAATTATTTTTTTTTATAATTTTTTATCTTATTATTGTTTATTTTTATAATTATTTTCTTATTTTTTAATAATTTGTTTCTTATTATTTTTTACTTTTTAATCACCTTTTTTTATTTATTTCATATTATTTTTTAAAAATGTTTATTTATTTAATTTTTTTTAATCAATTTAATTTTTTTCCACCTAACTTTATTGCTATCAGAAAACACTCCCCTGTGTGATAGCAATTGGAGGTGACAGGTTCTCTTTATTGACCCTGTCACCTCCAATACAGGAGTTCTAGCACAGCACTGTGCTGGAACTCCTGTGACAGCTGAGAGAGGAAGAGCACAGCTCTCCCCTCTCACTGTCTACAGTCTACACGGAGCGGCAGGGTTACTTTTAACCCTGCCGCTCTGTTCACTGCAGTGAGAGAATCGGCGGCTGTGCCCGGAACCAGAGGAGAGGTAAGTGCAGGGGGGAGGGGAGGAGGCTGCACACTGTTTACATTGCTTACATATGATCTCAGCGACATCGCCGAGTTCACATGTAAACGAAAAATCGGCTGCCTCACTTTACATTTAGTCCTGCTTGTGCAAAGCAGGACTAAATGTAGAGAGGGCAACTTCCCCACAAGGACGCTGCTGCCGCCCCTCTACACCCTGCCACCCCGAGCCTTGGTGGCCTTGTGGGGAATCCGGGCCTGACCGCGTCCCTGACTTTCGGGAGCAGCTACACGGTCTGCATCTCTGTCGGATGCAGACCACAGAGCTGCTCCTGTCAGCTCCAGCACTGAGATCCTTTTGGCTGGAGCTCAGTTCTGAGCTTCGGTCGAAAGGATGCATTAGTGAGGTCTGCAGCAGACCTTACTAATCACCACTAAGGATGGGCTGCCTGTTCGAGTGGCACGTAAGTTCGACTCAAACATTGCCTGTTCGAGCGTTCGCCGAACTTTGATGGATGTTCGCGGTCTGTTCAACCGTGCAACGTCCCACAGGGCAATGCGCCCTCTGAAGCTCTAATTGGTTAAAGTCTTGCCGCAAAACAAGAAAATAATACGAACTGTCTTACAGAGGAAGGCAGTTCAAGGGTTAGCCAACGGTGGGAACAAACCACAATGTCAATTTTTAGAGAAAATGTACTTTATTTTTAATCAAAAAAGAACATAAAAGATTGCTGAACACATAGCTGAAAGTTTACTGTCAAATAATTAAAAACGATGACTAGTCAAACTGACTTTGATCAGTAGCTGGTTGGATATACGTGCCCTTGATTGGCTGTACATGTATCCCTTATGGTTGTAAAGTCTATTGGTCGTTTAGGGTTTTGATACTTAAGTGTATCAAGATGTTTCTATTTAGTAACGATAACTAAACACATCCACATATTCTTAAGCTGAATGCAGTTTGGTAGTTCTCTTGATTCTTTGTTAATGTTGCATGTTGCTGCATGTTGCAATTTTTGAAAACAGTTTCACAGGTCTGTCTTAAATCGACAGTAAGTGGATCTGTGATGGTTTTTCGGCAACCTTCGGATTTTTATTTAAAGATACTTTCAATTTGAATGGGAAAGCTTTTGGAATCGTGTCTTTGTGATTAGCGGGATCTTTCTTTTGGATATGCAATCCAATTGCGGGGTTGCTGGATTCTATAAAAGAGAAGCCATTATATGCAAAAAACTTTATTATAATCACTGCTGTATAAGAACGGTCCCCTGATACAAACCTTGATGGTGGAAAAACTTCCTAATATTAATGATTAGAAAGAAATAAGCGTAACAAAATATGCACTAATTAACACAACAAAATAAATTCTAGCCGGCATATAATGGCTTATCTTTGATAGAATCCAGCAACCCCGCAATTGGATTGCATATCCAAAAGAAAGATCCCGCTAATCACAAAGACACGATTCCAATAGCTTTCCCATTCAAATTGAAAGTAACTTCAAATAAAAATCCGAAGGTTGCTGAAAACCATCACAGATCCACGATCTAAGACAGACCTGTGAAACTGTTTTCAAAAATTGCAACATGCAGGATTAACAAAGAATCAAGAGAACTACCAAACTGCATTCAGCTTAAGAATATGTGGATGTGTTTAGTTATCGTTACTAAATAGAAACATCTTGATACACTTAAGTATCAAAACCCTAAACGACCAATAGACTTTACAACCATAAGGGATACATGTACAGCCAATCAAGGGCACGTATATCCAACCAACTACTGATCAAAGTCAGTTTGACTACTCATCGTTTTTAATTATTTGACAGTAAACTGTTAGCTATGTGTTCACCAATCTTTTATGTTCGTTTTTGATTAGAAATAAAGTACATTTTCTCTAAAAATTGACATTATGGTTTGTCCCCACCGTTGGTTAACCCTTGAACTGCCTTCATCTGTAAGACAGTTCGTATTATTTTCCTGTTTTGCGGTAAGTGTTGGTTACAGGCGGGGTAGACGAACCTCCCAAAAAGGGCCATTTAAAGAGCTTGATATCTCCAGGAGTGAAACAAACCCAGTATTACATGGTTAAAGTCTTGCACCTGATCACAGGCCAGGTGCAAGACTTTGCCCAATCAGGGCCCAGTACTCATTTAGAGCCATGATTGGGCAAAGTCATTCTTGGGTGCCTGATCGAAGAGAGGAGGAAAGTGTGGAGGAGGCACAACTCCAACGAGGCACGATGCCCTCCAGGGGCAGCCGTATGATCAGCCAGCCCACTGCATCGGAAGGCAGAGCTGCACTGGTGCAGGGCGCTGTTGTCTTGCAGCACACTTCCAGGAACTGTCTGGGAGTTTTTCACCACACTTTTTGCAACCTGTGTCTCAAGAGGATCAAGCTTGGCAAAAACATCAGCCGCTTGGGTACCACGTGCTTGAAGAGACATATGACCACCTGCCACGCAGTTGGCAACAGCACCATAGAAAGGACAACACTTCGCGCTCCTCATCTGTGATCTCTACCCCCCACTATATGTCATACCATGTCCATGTCCACAGCCTCCACT